AGCATACGAGGAGGTGAACAACTGTCATGAGAGAGCACTTGTGTTTATGCATAAGGTAAAGCTGAAGTTTCTTACATTTTCACGTTTGTATAGCGGCAGTACTGTGTGACAACATATAGCAGACTTTTCACGGTCTCCTCAGATGCCCAGGATATGGATCGACTACTGTCAGCTCATGGTGTCTCAATGCAAAATTACACGGAGCAGACGGACATTCGATAGGGCGTTAAGAGCGCTACCCATTACCCAGCATCCTCGCATCTGGCCCCTGTATCTTCGCTTTGCCCGTAACTTGCCTCTCCCAGAAACAGCTATTCGTGTTTACCGCCGGTACTTAAAGGTAAATGTTGGACGTTATGCTGGAAACCAAAAACACACTTGATTGTCTATATTAGTTGACGTGTCAAGCTCTGTGCTTTAAGGTGTAAATGATTAAAGCTATCTATACACTTCCTTTTCCTCTGTCCTTTTTGTAGTTGTCACCTGAGAATGCAGAGGAATACATTGATTACCTGCGTTCAGTTGGACGTCTGGATGAAGCTGCGATTCGGCTGGCAGCTGTGGTCAATGATGAAAACTTTGTTTCGAAAGAGGGAAAGTCCAATTATCAGGTCAGCAAATTACAGGTTTTACATTTTTTAATGAGTTTGTCCATCTCTACATCTGGAGTGTAAATACACTACTATTCACAAGTTTGGGGTTGGTTACAATTTTTATTTTTATATTTTTGAAAGTAGTCTCTTATGCTCACCATGGCTGCATTTATTTTATCGACAACAAAGTAAAAACAGAAATATTTTGAAATATTACTACAATCTAAAGTAACTGCTTTCTATATAAATATATTTCAAATATAATTTATTCCGGTGATGGTAAAGCAAGTCTTCAGTGTCACATGATCCTTTAGAAATCATTCTAATATAATCTAATATTTGTGCTCAAGAAACATTTGTTATTTTCAATGTTGAAACAGTTGTGCTTAATATTTTTATGGAAACCGTGATACGTTTTTTTCAGGATTCTTTGGTGAACAAAGTTCAAAAGAACAGCATTTGTATGAAATAAAAATATTTTGTAACTTTGTCTTCACTGTCACTTTTTATGAGTTTAATACAGCGTTGCTGAATATAAGTATACTTATATTCAACTTATAAGTTGAATAAAAGTATAAGTAATTTTAATTTGCTGAATTAAAGAAATAAGTAATTTCTTTAAAAAACTGACCTCTTACTGACCCCTCACTCTTAAAGCTAAAATCTTACTGACCCCAAACTTTTGGACAGTAGTGTATTTGACACAGATTTATCTTAATTATGGTTCCTAACTAAATGATGCATATTCAAGATGATGCAGTCTGAAATTGGCCAACATTTTATTGTATTTTTCTGACATATTCATGCTTGAAGACAAAAATGTAGGTTGCAGATCTGGATTTGGTGGCTTAAAATAGGTCAGGAATTGTATTTTGGATTAGAAAAAAATGATTATCTAATACACTAGTAATTATTATAGGAATTATAATTGCTTAGGTCCCTAATCAATTCATTGAATTGTCATTCTAAGACTAATGATGCATTATTATTATGCATCAAAGTGGCTTTATGCCACTAATGTCCATCCTATTCTCTGTCTCCATATATGCATTAATTCAATTTTGTGAAATATTCACATACTGTGCAGAATGTACATATTTTATCATGTAAAATTCAATTACAGCTCTGGCACGAGCTCTGTGACCTCATCTCACAAAACCCAGACAAGGTGACTTCACTGAAGGTGGGAGCGATTATCAGAGGAGGTCTCACTCGCTTTACTGACCAGCTTGGCAAGCTCTGGTGTTCTCTGGCTGATTACTACATCCGCAGTGGACACTTTGAGAAGGTAAAACTACAAATATATGAAATCTAAGACTCTGTATACACTAACCCTGCTCATGCACAAATTGACACCATTATCTTGTTTTTTCAAGGCTCGAGATGTATACGAGGAGGCCATCCTAACAGTAGTCACTGTGCGAGACTTCACCCAGGTTTTCGACAGCTTTGCGCAGTTTGAGGAGAGCATGATTGCTGCCAAGATGGAGACCACGTCTGAACTGGGACAAGATGAAGAAGGTGAGAGATTTTTTTCCTCAGAAGACCTTGTAGCAATTAATCCTTGATGTTGGTGTTACAGAAATCCTGATTTCCCCACTCTAGATGACATTGACTTGGAGTTGCGATTGGCCCGTTTTGAGTCGCTGATAACTAGACGACCGCTTCTATTAAACAGCGTGCTGCTGCGTCAGAACCCCCACAATGTTCACGAGTGGCACAAGAGAGTCAAACTCTACGAGGGCCAACCACGACAGGTTGGAAAGATCATTTACATCTTTAAATCGATTGATATTTGTCTCAACATAACTACAGTGTGTGATTTACACACCTTATTCTGCTTTTTCCTGTAGATCATCAACACATACACAGAAGCTGTGCAAACGATAGATCCTTTGAAAGCCACAGGAAAACCTCACTCTCTCTGGGTGTCCTTCGCCAGATTCTATGAGGATAATGAACAGCTGGATGATGTACGACACTTCCTGTGTACTTGCAGCTTTTAATTTAATTTAACTTGCAGATAATTTGTTGGTTAAACTGATGGTTAACTATTTCTCTTGAACTTCAAGGCTCGGACTATCTTTGAGAAGGCCACAAAGGTGAACTACAAACAGGTGGATGATCTTGCAGCGGTGTGGTGTGAATATGGAGAGATGGAGCTGAGACATGAGAATTATGACCAAGCGTTGCGTATACTAAGGGTAAGAGACTACTATACGTTACCACTAATGCTTTAGTGAAGCACAGTGTTATTTTAGTGTCATTGAGGTAATATTATCTATTTTATGTTTTATTCATTTTATATTTATATAGCTTTGGCAATTTTGTTGGTTTTATTGGTCATTTTCATGTTTTTTTTTTAAATTTAATGTCTATATAGTTTTTATTTAATTTTTGGTAATATCTAAAGACAATTTGCAGCCTAGTTTCAAAGTTTGCTTGGCATCATAGTCTAGTGCAGTGATCTTCACTATTTTTTTCACGAGAGCCGCACATATAGGACAAAGTTAATAGGAGAGCCACTTTTACTGCAAAGTATGAAAAGTTACATCCTGTCATAAATAGCATGTCTGCTTCTGCATCTGTCATCCCTGGACATACAATATGCAATGCAATACAAAGGGGTTTATTTTTAAAAGTTATTTTTTAAAGTTATTTATCTCAAGTTATTTGCTTCTACATTAGCCCATCATGTATCAAACCATAAGAGCACATTCCGCGTTAAGAGCTGGAAGAGTTGCCAAAACAACTCCGCAGTGAGTCAATATCATGGATGTAAGGGCAGAGCACGTTTAAATATCTTTCTAGTCTATATTTCCATCTTGTAATTCCGCTGTTTTGGGTATTTTTAACATATAAATTATTTATAATAGAGCAGACACTGACTGTTGTTCATGTATTTATGTTCTCATTTAGCGAGACAGCAGACGCTGAAAACACTGCACACTTCAGTATGTGTGTAGTAAATGAAACCACGCGTCTGTGCCATTCATTCATAAAGAGACATGCAGGATTCATATTTAAATGTTATTTTTGCAGCTTAAAATTTACAGATACCAGTCAATATTGCGATTTGATTTAAGTGTAATGACCTACTTTTGATTTATTCACCCAAACTTTGACAAATTCCGTGACATTCCGCGTTATACAGTAAATTCTGTTTTTATGACTGGATTCCGCAATTCCGTCCGCGTTTTCCGCATCGCAGAAATCATAGGGCCATAATTAAAATGGGTTCTATTGTCTTTTGACGCGTCGCACCACGACGCTCGCGTCCAGTGTAGACACGGTGTGAGTTTTTTTTAATGGCTTAGTTTTAGCCCTGCTTGTTTTTAATGTTTTTATTAAATATCTGTATTGATAATATCATCGCATTATTTACTGCCATCTGCCATGCGAGCCACACATTAAAGCTTGGCGAGCCGCGCAATGAGTAACACTGGTCTAGTGCATTTCATGCCAAAGGGATAAATTGGAGATCATGTCATCAAACTTTTTCCAGATGTTGACAGTCCTTTTCTTTTCAGAAAGCAACAGCGATTCCAGCAAGAAAAGCAGAGTATTTTGATTCTTCAGAACCAGTGCAGAATCGAGTATACAAGTCCCTGAAAGTGTGGTCCATGCTTGCAGACTTGGAAGAGAGTCTTGGCACATTCCAGGTATGTTGCTTTGTCGTTTCCTTTTCACTGAGGGGATATGTATGTACAGGTATGTATGTTCTTGCTGTTTTGTATGTTAATGTAACTGTTGCTTTTGTCAGTCCACAAAGGCAGTGTATGATCGCATCATTGATCTCCGGATCGCCACTCCTCAGATCATCATTAACTATGCCATGTTTCTTGAAGAACACAACTACTTTGAGGATAGTTTCAAGGTAAGGGAATTTAACATAACCTTCTGTTTTTTTTTCATTATTGTTTTGTTCTTTTTTTTTTTGGTTTGTTTTGGTGAATTTACTTCTTTTCGCTTTAACAAATCTGTCTTTTCAATCAAATTTTGATTGAAGGCATACGAGCGTGGCATTGCCCTTTTTAAGTGGCCTAATGTCCATGACATCTGGAACACGTACCTCACCAAGTTCATCGACCGTTATGGAGGCAAAAAGCTGGAGAGAGCGCGAGATCTGTTTGAGCAAGCGCTGGATGGGTGTCCTGCTAAATATGCCAAAAGTAATAATCCAGAAAACATAAATATTTTATGCTTAACTGCATTCATTGAAGATTAAGAGTAAATGCCTGAAACCCAGGTCCTGATTTAATTGGTGTTGTTTAACAGCTATCTACTTGCTGTATGCTAAGCTGGAAGAGGAGTACGGTCTGGCGCGACATGCCATGGCTGTGTATGAGAGAGCCACTGCAGCTGTAGAACCAGAGGAACGACATCAAATGTTCAACATCTACATCAAGCGTGCAGCAGAGATTTATGGAGTCACTCACACAAGAGCCATCTATCAGAAAGCCATTGAGGTAAACCACTTAGCTGTCACTCATTAACAAAATATCAGGGAGTGTAATCGTATATGTTATGTACTATAATGAGTTCATTTGGTTTGGTGCAGGTCCTGCCAGATGAGCACGCCAGAGACATGTGTCTGCGCTTCGCTGACATGGAGAGCAAACTTGGGGAGATTGACAGAGCGAGAGCCATCTACTCGTACTGCTCTCAGATCTGTGATCCGAGGGTAAATCTTACCGTAACGGCCTATATTACTTTGCTCATATTGTGTGTGTGTCCTGTATTTTGACTGACTTGGCATCTCTTGATCAGGTGACTGCTCATTTCTGGCAAACCTGGAAGGAGTTTGAGGTACGCCACGGTAATGAGGACACAATCCGTGAGATGCTGCGGATTAAACGCAGTGTGCAGGCCACATACAACACACAAGTCAACTTCATGTCCTCTCAGATGCTCAAGGCAACCACCAATGCTACTGGAACAGGTATGTTTCATTTATTAAAGCTAACCGGAAATCAAAATGGATTGTTTTTAATAAATGTGCATGATTCATCAGTGTTATTACATTGAAATCCTGAAAAGGCTTTTCTTTTGTCTGATATTGTGCAGGCAGGGAACTTAAGGTTAACTAAAAGCTGAATAGCTATTTAGCTGTTGATTTGGGCTACTGTTGTAGGCAATGCAGCCTTTCTGTAATGTTTCATTTAATGGCAGTTAATGTAATTCTTATGGCAATAATATGAAAAATAGATTTGTTGAAAGAAAAAAAAAAATGCTGGAATACATCAAAATGTTCCTGAAGGTGAACATTTGACAGCAAAATTATATTCTGGTCTGTCTCTATTTTTTCATGGTATGCCTTTTCATTATCCAGTTAATTTCTAATGCATGAGTGTATATATATATATATATGATGTGTGTGTATATATATGTGTGTGTGTGTGTGTGTATATATGTGTGTGTGTGTATATGTATATATTAGGGATGTAACGATTCACTCAACTCAAGATTCGATTCACGATTTTGATTTCACGATTCGATTCGATTCACTATTTTTTTTAACAAAATGAGATTTAAGACAAATTATAAATTAAATGTGTCCTTTTATTATTGCTTAGACATAATACTGTACGTTTCTTTGTGAAATTGAAATATAACACCATAATAATATACTAATATAGCACTTGCATATTATTGCTCTTTTGTTGGTTTTGATTGCTTCTATTGTCCTCATTTGTTAGTCGCCTTGGATAAAAGCGTTTGCTAAATAACAACATTTAAATGTAATGTAAATAACAAAACTAAATTGAAAATTTAAAACAAGCCCCAAATCAAATAAATAAGTAACACAAATAAAATAAATCTCTTCATATAAACAAACTAAGGCTTTGTCTGTGCTCTTTCCATTTAAAATTAGAGGCAACCACTGCATTTTAATCATGATCCAAACAAAGATGCTGCATACATGCAACATGAGCAGTTCTTAATCTAAATTACATTGTATAATTTCTAAATTTGAAGCAAAAACAAAATGGTTTGACTTCAGTTTTGTGAAACTATAAACAAAAATATCTGCATGAAACAGCAGACGAGCTGAATGAGACGCAGATTCACTCTCCGCCAACAGGTGGCGCTTAAAGCGTTTCCTTGGTTACCGCTGTAAACAAAGCAGCGCTGCGCTTATGAACAGCAATGATA